GTGCCAACTTGGGCCAGTGAAGCGATATCCTCTACAACTAGACTGAAGAACAAAAGGATAGCAACTTGTCTGTTCCCCTTTTCCCAATTCCCCAATAAAAATCTTAAAAACAAAAAAAAAGAGAGAGTCCATCAAGGACAAATATAATACATTAATAAATGCAATGGAAAAAAAGTAACTTACTTCAAAAGTATTTTTACTGGTTCAGAAGAGAGAGACCTCAACTGCATTGTGATATCAAGATGTAGTGATTTGAGATGGTCTTTGAATAATAGGCATGATGTTAACAAGAAGTGAGAAATGAGGGAAGATTTACTGCTCTGCCTTCTGAGAGGTTTGGCAGTGGGATGGGGGGAGAAAGACAAGTAATAATAGCTTTGACTTGTCATGGTCAAGGAATGTGGTTTTAAAATCAGCGAGTCCTGAGCATCCTTAGAGACAAGAAGGGAGGGACAAGCGGAGGAGAAATGGAAGCTGTTACTGTAGACAGGTAAAGTTGAAGAAGTAAGGACCACAGAGAGATTAGGAACAAGAAAGCAAGAATACTTCTCAGAAGTAGAGGGAAAAAAAAGGAAGTAAAAGTACAAAGATTTTTAAATGTGGAGGAGAGCTATGAAAGCTAAGATGGTTCTTTCTGGATAGCATTAGTCTTAATGTGGTAGTGACTGGTAAGAGACTGAGTACTTGTGGAAAAGGAAAATAAAACAAAAGGTTTGTAAAAGCTGCTTTGGGAGCATGTTGTGGACAAGTAACCAATGAAAACAAATATTGCAGGACTTGATTAAGGCCCTGGCTGAGTCACTATAGCATGAGCTTGTGTGCTATCTAAGTGGAGCGGGGGTGTTATTCAGAGTGAGGGAGAGCCAGGGGATGAGGGAGTCTAGAGAGACAGCCAGTGCACTGCTGAAATAATTGTCTTTGGCATTCAGAAGCGAAGCAAGATGGAATGAATTAGGAGGAAAGGAAGGGCCAGAATGAAGGGCAGATTATGTGCTGGAGAAGGAGTTGATGAAAGAGATGGAAGACAGGACAAGGGACAGAGAGAAGAGCAATTTAGAATTTAAGATCTTGGCAGTAGAACTTTTAGACTATTAATTTCTTCCTATTAATTCTAATTTTATTTAGCTATTGTTTGCTCATATGGGAATTTTCTAATTCTTTTTATTTGGACTAACATATTATTTTTTTGTCCTACCATGAGAGTATTATTTTTTTTAATTATGTAAGTTTCAGGTGTACAATATTATAATTCGACATTTGTATACACTACAAAGTGATCACCTCCAAAAGTCTAGTGACCATCCATTACCATACCATTGACACCCTCCACCCCTTTCACCCACTCCCCAACCACCTTCTCCTGTGGTAACCACCAATCTGTTTTCTGTATCTATGAATTTGCTTGTTTTATTTTGTTTGTTCATTTTTTTTTTAGATTCCACATATGAGTTAAATCATGTGGTATTTGTCTTTCTCCTTCTGACTTATTTCACTTAGTGTTATATCCTCAAGGTACATTCATGTTTTTGCAAATGACAAGATTTCATTCTTTTTTATGGCTGACTAATATTATATATGTGCGAGCCATATCATCTTGATTCATTCATGCATCAGTAGACACCTAGGTTGCTTCCATATCTTGGTTATTGTAAATAATGCTGCAGCAAACACAAGCAAACACAGGGGTGTATATATCTTTTCGAATTAGTACTTTTGTACTCTTTGGGTAAATACCCAGAAGTGGAATAACTTAATCATATAGTAGTTCTATTGTTTATTTTTTGAGGAATCACCATTCTATTTCACTTAGTGCCTGCACCAATTTACAATTCCACCAGGAGAGTAAGAGTGTTACAAGGGTTCTATTTTCTCCACATTTTCTCCAACACTTGTTATTTCTTGTCTTTTTGATAATAGTTATTCCAACAGGTGTGAGGTGATATCTCATTGTGGTTTTGATTTGCATCGCTGTAATAATTAGTGATGTTAAACATCTTTTCATGTGCCTGTTGGCCATCTGTAAAATAGTATTTCTTTAAAAGACCTAATAGACTATTGTAAGAAAATCTTATGAGCAAATGATTAACGTTTCCAAAAGGACTTTGAGAGAAAGAAAGAAAAGGAAAAAAAAGAAGAAGGTATAAAGACAAAATTTTAAATGCTGATGGAAAAAAATAGTAGTTTCATAGGAATTTGTTTTCTTACATAACTGTAGAAAATAAATATTTTTAAAGAAAGGGCAGTTAAACATGAAGAAAAAGTATAAGAATAACCATGATTTACATTTGGGAATTCCCATTTGTATTTGAGAATTCAGCAAAAGAGAAAAATGTGTTAAGAGTCCTATAGTACTAAATGAGTTTTTTTTTTCTTAAGTCTTGTTTTGAGTGGGCTGGCTAACCTTTTTAGTTTCCTTAACAGAAACTACTGATGTTAAAAACTTCTGTAACCTACTTAGTGCCTAGTCTTTAAAAATTAACATGAAAGGAGCTTGATTTTCTTTCTTGCTAAATAGTGAAATTCTGCAATCTCCTCTCCCCGATTTACCAGTTGCCCAAGGTTTTCCTCATCTATAAAATTGTACCTTCAGATTAAATGAGAAAATATCTATAAATTACATTAATCCAACAAGTATTTGTTGAGCTCTTATCTTACATTATGTCTATTTGTGGGAATATAATGTTTAATTTTGGACTTTTCAGTTTGAGATACATTCAAATAAAATTATCCAGCTGGCCAAAATATATACAAGTCTGGAGTTCACAGTAGACTAGAAATACTTATTTGGGAGTGAGTCTATATAGCTGATGATTAAAACCATGAACATGATTGAGAGTCTATCAGGATTCTCTCTCTCTCTCTTTCTGTCTCTGTCTCTGTCTCTCTCTCTCTCTCTCTCTCACACACACACACACACACACACACACACACACACACATACGGATAGAGTCATGAGAAATAACCAGTGTTTAAGTGCTAAGGATTGCACAAGGGAAAAAGAAATGACCAGGAGAAGGAACAGAAAAGGATGATATCACAGAATTCTAGGGTATAGAGTTTCAAGGCAAAAGATAAACAGAATTTGTGGCTACGCAGCAAAGAGCTCTAATAAATTAAGTATTCAAAGAGTGTTCATTGGATTTTTAGTCAGGAAATATTTTAACTTTAGAACAGCAATCCTAGTCATGAGGGCAAAAGGTAAACTGTAAGGGATTGAGAAGTAAATGAGAGATAAACTGTAGATTACTATTCAAGCACATTAAATGGAAAGGTAGGAAAACATGGGATCAGGAGAGAACTTTTCTCATTTAATGAGAGATTCAAACTCAATTAGAGGAAGGAACTTGTCAAGAATAAGGAGTTACAAAATAAGGAGAGAGGGGGCGAATGAAGGATGAAGGGGTGAGAACGTGAGCACCAGCGGCAGGTTACCTTGTCCACTGATGCCTGGAGAACAGAGCTAAGACAGATGGGGAGGTAGGGGGAATCGCTGAGGGAGGTCATGCATTATGCCCTCACTATTCCAGGAAGTAGGAGACAAGTGAAGAGGTCAAGATTGAAAAGGATCGGGGAAGGTTAGAATCCTCATCGGGTGTAATGGAAGTGGAAACTGACCAAAGACAAATAAAAGGAATCACAAATAGGACAGCAGCGGGAGGCTTGCTGAGGCTGGAGACCATAAATCTGTGGTAGTGAGGATGTTCCTGGCTTTATGGCTTTCTCTGGCAACTCTCAGATAGTCGGGTTACCAATGATTTTAATTTCCCTTGCCTTGGATGGATCGGTGGGTGGATGATCTTATGAATAAATGGTCAGACAAGTAAGTTTACTGTAGAAATAAAAATCCATCCTGCATATTTCAAAGCCTTTTACTGTTTGATCATGGATAGAGAATAAAAACCAGAATCCTAGACTAGAATTTTAAGGTTTCCAACATAAAATTCTGACTCTATCTTTCACTACATCCTTACGTGTATCAGCACATTATAGCCAAAAAGTGCTTAATTTTTTGAACAACTTTTTATTTTCCTACTTTCACTTCCATTATTTTGCTTCTGCTATTTACTCAGCTTGTAAAACCCTACACCTCAACTTTTGAAATCCTAGCTGTTCATTAAAACTCAGTTCATTTGTTACCTGGTGTGTGACCCCAGCCAGAAGTCCTCGCATCATCTATAATTCCTTGTGCATACCACTTTTATGCTACTTTTCATTTATTTCAAAATATTTTAGTTTCTACTAAATTTTAAATTCCTCAGTGGTAAGGACCATGTTTTTGTCATCTTTGTATAATTTCATAGTGCCAACACAATGCTTTTTCTGTAGTAAATATTTCCTGAACAGGCATTGTGTGAGGTTGTGGGGACAGTTTTCCCACAATGAGACCGAAAGCTGGCTGAAAGCTACCCACAGGGAGACCGACAATGAAATGAAGTTCACAGAGACATGCAGGTGGAGAGACTTTTGCTCAATGCAAAGACCTCGAGGGTCGAGGGGCGCCTGCATCCTCCTTTTATTGAAGGGGACTAACAAAGCTCTACTTAGGATTTGCGTCATGAATGGGTGATAAGCGGATGTGGGGTGTAAGCAATAAGCACATGTGGAGCTTCCTTGTGATGTCCTGAGCCTCCCCGCTCCATCTCTGTTATCTGTCTTCGGCCCTTCACATACTGTCCCTTTCCTATCCCATGCCTTGAGTCGTTGCCAACCACCTTCGGCTTGACACGTATTCAAGTCATGAGAATCCTTGGGCCGTTGCCAACTGCCTTCGGCCGACACGCACCCAAGTTGCCCTCCTGCTCTGACCTTTCAGAGCGGGGGCCTTACAATATTGTAATCCTGTGCTGTGTCCCTACAGCATTGTATTACATGTTTATATTATGCAGCAAGATAGGACCTTTAAAAGAAAATAATGTTTTGCCATTTCTATAGGGTATTTTTAAAGGTTTATTTTTAAATGTTATTTTCTTAACTTCTAATGGGAATGTTTTGTCTCATAGGTATGGTATGAATTGCCTTATTCAGTTTGAAGATTTCGCCAACATAAATGCATTTCGTCTCCTAAACAAGTATCAAAACCAGTATTGCACATTCAATGATGATATTCAAGGTAATGTAATACATTTTCACTGCATATGGTTCAAGATGTCCTGATGGCTGCCAGAGAGGAAGGGGTGGGCGGATGGGCAAAAAAGGTGAAGGGAAATACGAGCTACAAACTCCCAGTTATGAAATAAATAAGTCACAGGAATGTAAGACACAGCACAGGGAATATATAGTCACTAATATCGTAATAACTTTCTGTGGTGACAGATGGTTACTAGACTTATTGTGGTGAGTGTATCATAAGGTATATCATGTGGAATCTATGTATTGTACACCTGAAACTTATATAACATTGTATGCCAACCATACTTTTAAAAAACATTTAAAAATAAGAGTATGTCCTGAAATTAGTTCAGAATTTTATAATCATTCAAATTCAATAAATATATACTAGATATCTATTAAATGCCAGGAATTATGCTTGGTGATTTTTCTGATTTACTTTCATATACTTGATAATAATACTCTGTGATTCTAGAGTCTCATATAATTCATGAGCTAGAGCATGAACTCCCTGAAATCTAATAAAATCTCCAGTGATTATGGCTAAACAGAGAATGAAATATATGAAAATATATTGTTTGTTTAAACAAAAGAATGTATATACTTTTCTCTCCAGCCTTCATCTCAGTCATTCATGATTTCTGAGCCTTGCCCCAACAAAAGCTGCCTTTATATATACTGTACCTCTTTTTACTCTTTGTCTTTGATTGTAGATGCTTGGCTTCTGATTTTGTCTACATTACCTGTTTTGCTGCTGTTGTACTTGTTTTTCTCTTTAAGCCTGTCTTTTTCAACACTCTCTAGATTCATACCCACCCAACCAACCCACCCACCCCCAAATCTAAGACCTTGCTATGAAAATCTTACTGATCTTGTAACATGAAGGGCAGGTAGAGGGGAAAAGCACAAGCAAAGATCCTCAGGAGGAAGACCATCGTGAGTTTTAGCACCCTTAAAGACGATCGCAAATGGCCTCCATGTGACTAATTCCAGTGGACAGTTTTCAGTGTTTATCGTGCTTGAATTCTCAGCAGCATTAACATTGTTCACCTCACCCTCTTCCCTGAAGTTCTCTCTTCTATTGATTTCCTTGTCACAGCACTCTGCTGACTTTCTTTCTGTCTCTTTGGATTTCTCCTTTTTTTTTTTTTTTTTTTTAGGTTCGTCCTTTTCTGGCTAGCTATTGAATAACAGAACCCTCCAGTACTAAGTCCCAGGCCCTTGGTTTTATTATGTCTTCTTAGGCATACATTCCAAGGCAGAACATTCCATTAGCAGATTTATATCTCTAGCGCAGATGTCTTTGAATTTCAGTCCACATACCCATCTGGTTATTTAAAATCTCCTCTTGGGTATTTCAAAGTTATCTCACATGCAACCTCCCCCAAATCAGACTTTTTTATTTCCTCACCAAACCTGATCTTCTTTCAATGTTCTCCTGCTCAGCGAATTCCTGATATCTTTCTATTGTTCATCTCTCCCTACCAAATACAGTTCATCACTAAATCCTCCTGGTTTTCTGTTGCAAAAAATCTGTCTCTTTCATCGATTTCTCTCCATTACCCTAATGTAAGTTACTATCATCTATCCTAAAGAGCGGATATTTTCCTGAGAAATCTTTCCACACTTCCTTTTGCTTCCCTTGCTTATATGTTCTCTGCATGTTATCTAGTTTGCCAGACACAGAACTAGGTGCTAAGGATTTAGGGGTGAACAAGCCAAAGTGTTCTTTTTGCTGTAGATCTCCAGTTATATCATTCCTTCCTTAGAGTGTTTTAATAGGATAAAGGATAAAGACAAAAACCGTGAACGTGGCCCAAAATGCATGGTCTGATCGCTGCCTCCCTCTCCAGCCTCATTATTTTTGCCATTCCAGCCGTAACGTCCTTTTTCAGATCCAAAAATGAGCCGGGCTTCTTCCTGTTACAGCTTCTATCCAAATGCTGATTCCTTTGCCTAGAAAACCCTTTCCTCCTCTTTTTAAGTCTCATCTAAATCTTGACATTCCTCAGAAAAATCTCCCAGATCCCAGTGTCTAGGTCAACTCCACCTATCACAGGCTGTCAGAGCACTCTTTATTTTCCCGTGTGGCACTTAATGGTAGCAGCTTTATGTATTTATGTGATTTCAACAATTATTATCTCCCTCCCCACTAAATGTTGAGCTCCATGAAGGGCTAGGAACATGCCTGCTTTGCTCATCACCTTGTCATTGACATGGTGCCCGGCCCATGGAAGGTACTGAATGTTAACGGAATGAATGCACTATGTCTACAGCAGGGGTTGGCAAACTGCAGCCTGTGGGCCAAATCCAGCTCTGTGTCTGTCTATTTTTGTCAAGTTTTATTGCAGTACACCTATGCACATTTGTTTCTGTATTGTTTGTGATTGGTTTCGTGCTGCAACAGCCGAGTTAGGTCTGGGACAGACACCCATATGACCACAAACTGTAAAATACTTAGTATCTGGCTATTTACAGAAAGAGTTTACCGGCCTCTAGCCTAAAGGGTTGCGTTGGTGAGAGTTGAACTAAGAAGTCAGGTTGGCTAAGGTAGGTTTGCATTTTGGAGAGATCACGCACATTGTTTTTAGTGTAGAGAATAGATTGAGCGGGAACAAATTTAAAGGCTTTTGCTATAATTCAGATACATGATGATGGTGCCTTGTTCTAGGAAAATGCCAGTGATGATAGAGGGAAATAAGAGGGATAATTGGTTGTTGATGATGAGGATGAGGAAAAGAGCACAGGACAGAGCCTAGGTTTCTGCCTTGAAAACCTGGTAGACTGGCAGGTCATAACTGAGAGAGAGGGAAATGCGAGACATCATAACATGTGGATGTTACGATCATAGACTCCGGAGTCAGACTGATTTTCTTTGCCCGTTACTAGGTGGACTTTGATCTATTTATTTAACCTCTCTGATTTTTAGCGTTTTTATCTATGGCAGAAGGTTATATAATAGCTTCCTTTTTTTTTTTCCTTTGAAATGAGATTGAATCAGAAGATTGATGGGAATAAAGGCGGACTGCAAGGGTTGCTGTGGAGAACTAGAGCGTCAACTGACTAGTTAACACAAAAGGATTCAGTAATCCTGAGTGTTGGGGATCCAGGTGAAGTTGGATACCACAAATATAGTATGACACCAAGCTGGGCAGCTTTCGTTCAAGAGTTTAATTGGCAAGGCTGAGACACAGTCAGTTGTATTTATCTTTTGGGGATATTTTACTGTATTTGTGCAAAGAAAGGACAATGGGACAAAAGCTAAGTGGGACTAAATGGGACTAAAGTTACCATCATAGCGATAAGCAGGACAGGGAAGGAAGTGACGCTACATGGACAGGGAGATAAGGCATATCACCTAGATGTTCCCGTGAGGTTAAATATTGGGTTGTCGGAAAAGTCATGGCATATTTTTTTCTATGTTTTTCGTTGCAAAAATGAGTCTTGACTTTTCTGACAACCCAATAATAGTTATAATGAGGGTAATTGAAGAAACAACTAGAAAGGCAAGTGATTATAGACCATGAATGTGGTAGTCCAAGAAGGATTAGCTGAGTGATGGTAAGCACTAAGATGAAATTTAGGAGGAAGGTAGCCGAAGTGGAATAAGTGGAATAAGATGAATGCCGTTGGAAATGAGGTAGTCCAAGGAAAATTTAAATGTAAAATGGGGATGATAATGTTTCTGTCATAGTTTATGTTGAGGACAAAATTATTATTTGTGAAAAATATACAAAATTATTATTTGTGAAAGTATATTGACTGAAATATACTTTATAAATAAAATTTTTTAAATTCTCTATGTTTAAGTTCTTTGGTATGACACAGCTATGTAAATACAATGTGTTTAAAAATTCTGAGTCTTGGGGCCAACTGAGTGGTACGTTGGTTAGGAGTTGGCTTGGGACACCAGCTCTGAGCAGCAGGGCCCCAGTTTTGGATCCCACATTAGGGCCAGTGACGCTGCACCCTCTACAGCTAAGATGGTGAGCAACAGCTCAACCTGGAGCTGGGCTGCTGTGAGTCACTGGTGATGGCGTAGGCTGAAGTGGGGCTGGCCGGCAGCCGGCGTGTGCTGCCATCCAGTGGCTGGTGAGCGATCTGCCTCAGCTGGGAAGAACGCAATGATAATACCAACATGGGCCAGTGAAGCGATGTCCTCCACAGCTAGACTGAAGAACAAAAGGACAGCAACTTGTCTGTTCCCCTTCCCTGATTCCCCAACGCTGTTCCCCTCCCCTAATTCCCCAATTAAAAAAATAATAAAAATAAATAAGTAAAAATTATGAGTCTATACCTTGAGGCACACTAATTAATCAAATCTTTCTTTTCCCCAAGTCCTTTGTGATGTTAATTATATTGTTAAAACATTAGTATCATTTTTATGACAAAGATGCTTACATAATTTCAACTTTCTTTTCTTTTTTTCATTAAACTTCTCTTTAAATATTTGTCCATAAGTGAGTATTTGGAGGAACTTGGGAGGGAAATAAAAATAGTCTAATTTTAATGTACTATAACCCTGACTTGAAGATACAATCAATGCATAATGATATAGAGTGCCTATGATGCTACAAATAGGCTTTGTAGATCAGCGTCTTAAAGTCACTTATCAATTCACTTTGCAGTAGTCTCTAGCCACCAGTTAACTGTTGAACAAACCTATATTATTCTTTTAAAAATATTCTGTATCTTTTGATTTTTGTGGGTCCCACAGAAATATCCATATAGAAGTTAAAGCCCAGTATTACATAATTTTGAATCAATATGCAGAAATAATAGGCATTAAAGTTCACTTTAAGAAAAAGAATGCTAAATCCCGATCATCAGACAAAATGAGCAATTAGGAATTAGGGTCAGAATTCCTATCAACTAAGGTCAAGAATTTAGAGGTCAAGGTCTAGGCTGTGTCAGAATTAAAGTCAGGAGCACAGGACACCTGAGGCAGATGCCAAGCCACTGCCAAGAGCACTGTACGTGGAATTTCCTTCAGGGGCCACA